AGTAAAACAGCGGTTGCCAGGTGCTGGGGAGAAGCAAGAATGAGGAATTATTATTTCTGTTTTTCTTTTTGATACCAGGGATTGGACTCAGAGGCACTTAACCACTGAGCCACATCCCCAGCCCCTTTTTATATTTTATTCAGAGACAGGAGTTCACTAAGCTGCTTAGGGCCTAAGTTGCTGAGGCTTTCTCACAATCCTCCTGCCTCAGCCTCCCGAGTTGCTGGAATTACAAACAGAACTATTGTTTAATAGGTACAGAGTTTCAGTTTGGGATGAAGGAAATGTTCTGGAGAGGATGATGAAGATGGTTGTTCAACAATATGAATGTACTTTATGCTACCGAACTGAACACTTAAAAATTGTTAAAAATCATAAAATTTACATTATGTGTATTTTACCACAATAAAAATAATCAAGAACTTCTGCTCACCAACAGACATATAAGGAAAGTAAAAGTATGTGCCACACTCTCCGTGAACTTTCCATAACATATAACTGAAAAGGAGTAGTGTACGCAGAACATATAAACAACTCCTACAAACCAATAAGGAAAAGCTAAACAACAAAAAAAAAAATTATTATTTTTGGCAAAAGACTTCACAGGAATGGTTAAAATGCACAAGAATCTCCTTAGTCATAGAGAAATGAAAATTAAAACAACACTGAGATATTGTAGCATATCTCTACTTTGGTAATAATAATAAAAATCTGAAAATATCAATAGTGTTGGGTGAAGATGTGAAATCACTGACACATTTATATATGCTGGTGGGATATAAAACATTTCAATCACTTTGAGAGATATTTGGCACTGCTTAAGTAAAGTTGAAGAGGTGTGTATCTTTTTTTTTTTTTTGGTACCAGGCATGGAACCCTGGGACACTCGACCACTGAGCCACATCCCCAGCCCTATTTATTTAGACACAGAGTCTCATTGAGTTGCTTAGGGCCTTGCTAAGTTGCTGAAGCTGGCTTTGAACTTGTGATCCTCCTGCCTCAGCCTCCTAAACCACTGGGATTACAGGAGTGTGCCACTGTGCTGGGTGAAGACATGTGTATCTTATAACCTAGAAATTCCACTCCATAGAATGTTCCCTGGAGCTACTCTTGCTCATATATGCCAAGAAACACACCAAACCATTCACAACAGCACCATGTATGATAGCAAAAAAACCCTGCCAAGAACCCACCCTTCTATATGGAGTCAACAAATGAATGGAGCATATTCGTGCAATAGGATACCTGCTGTCAATACTTAGGATCTGTGTGATCTTGGGAAAGTTAACCTCTTTGTGCCTCAGTTTTCTCATCAGTAAAATGGGGATAATACCAATGTCTACCTCATAGCATTGAGGCAAAGATTGCGATCATTATTCAAGAATCTTTAAACTGTGCCCAGAACACGGCAAGCTCTCTCTATAAACATTGATGCTGATAAGGTTCCTTGGCTCCTGCCTTGGAGAGAGCCCTCCTCCTGACATGTGACCACACTTCAGTGTCTCCTGTTCCATTCAATGTTTTCTTCAATGATCTCTCACCTCACTCTTCCCGGCTTGGCCCTAACACACCTACCGCCCCGCTCCAGGCTGCCTCCGGTACCTTTGCACATGCTCTGCCCGCTTCCTGCCCCGCCCTTCCTACCTGCTCTGCGTGCTGAACAGTCCTCCGGGCTTCAGTTTGCAGTTAAACTCTGGTTACTTGCTTGTCTCTCACTAGACTATGGAGTCTGCAGAGGAGGCCTCCTCTTTGTTCAGCAGGAGGCTGTTACACATCCAAACCCCGCTAGCTGGGGCTTTTGCAGCCTGGCTGAGGGCTCAGACTCTGCTGTGGTACGGCCTGGGTTCAATGCCCGGCTTCACCTGTTACTCTCCCAGGGACCCTGAGTGAGTTGCCAACCTCTGGATGCCCATTTTCTTGATCAGCAACACGGCGGATAACACTGACTTTGTAAGCGCTCATGAGGATGACCTGAGATGACACAGGGGAAGCTCCTAGCCTATAGTAAGCACTCTAACAAAAACAGCTATTCTATTTCTATTTCTTCTCCCCCTGCCCCCCACCATGTTAGGGATGGAACCCGGGGCCTCCCGCATGCTCAGCAAGCAGCTCATCACTGAGCTACACCCCCAGCCAAAAGAGCTATTCTTAGGCTTCCCACCCGCTGCAGCCACTGGCTCCTCCCTCACCAGCCTCTTGACACCACGCAGGTGCAGACAGTGAACCTGGTGCCTAGGAATCTGCCTGGGGCCAGAGGAGCTGTGTGTCCCCTGGTCGTGGTGGGCAGACTGAAGGCAGAGCTCAGGGCACTGACAGAGCTGCCCTTCCCATGTCCCCTCCTATCCCCTGTGGGGCTCAAGATAGACAAAATAACAGCTTCCAGATCCCTCCTACCACTCCTCCAAGAGTCTCTATTTTCTGCCAGTTGAAGACACCACAGGCCACCTCTCTTGCAGCTCTGGGCCCACAGGCTGCTCCCCATTTCACAGAGGATGCAACTATGATTTAGAAAGAGACATCTCTTGTCTGAGGTCACCCTGTCCTAAGAGGCAGAGCCTGACCTTGAACCCAGCTGTCTGTCCCTGCCTCCAGCCAGGCAGCCTCCAGGAGAAGGAGCTGGGGCCCTAAAAGGGGGCTCCAGACCAGCTGGGCACTGAGCCCACCCCTGCCCACACCCCATTAGCCCTGTCCTTCACCACCCGCCCGTCCCTGTCACAGCCCAGCCTCATTCTTCTCCTGCAGCTGGCACCGGTCACCATGGCAACGGGATGTTTGGGAAGCTGTGGGATGATGGGCTGTACCGCAGAGTCAAGGATGGGGCCTGGGGAAGGGAGCAGCCGTGGGCTGTTTCCAGTGGAGCGAGGCAGGAACCTGGCTCTACTGCCACGCCTCAACAAGCCCCACCCCCCAAAATGCCGCAGACCCAGGAATCCCAAGTCTGGACATCTGGTCCAGATAAATCATCTGGAGTGGGGAGGAGCCAGGTGTACCAGGATGTCTGCCCCAGCATCACTTACAACAGGACAAAACCGCACCTGTCAACCACAGGTAACCTTTTAAGCATTTTTCTTGTACCCAGCGCCGTGTTAAAAGCCAAACATGTGTCCTCTCATGTACTCCTCGCCACCACCCCATGGGGTAAGTGCTTTTAATAGCCACGTTTTGCAGATGAGGAGATTGGGCTCAGAAAGGTGAAGGCACTGGCCTAGGTCACTGGATAGACAAAGCCAGGACGGAATGCCAGCCCCTTGCCTGCTCCGCCACAGCGGCTGGAAATGAGAAAAGGAAGTCCCAGCCCAGCCCCTCATCCTGACAGCGCCTGGGACTGTGACAAAGCTGTCTAAGACAGCTATGACGCAGGGTTCAGGAAAAGCAAAAAAAAATTCAGCAGAACAACGTGTACCAACTTGGAAAGAGCTTCATCTACCATGGAGCCTACAAAGCCAAGTTCAAGCCCCAGAACAACACAGAGGGCAGAGCCCGAGCCCACTCAGGTGAAAAGGTAGAGATGTTCACATCTGCACAGACGTTCCCAGGAAAGACACTGGAAGGGCACAGGGTGTGACAGGCATTATCCCTGGATGATGGGCAATGAGCCCAGGAGGCATTCACAATAAATAAATAAAACTATAAAATTTGATAAATATGATCACAATTCCAGGTAAAGAAAAGACATCTATTCACAGGGAAAAGATCGATACCCAAAATGCCTTCAGGAGTTGGTGCTGAATGTTGGCATTATAGGTGACTTTTATTTCTTCTTAATTTTCTATAATGAACACACATCACTTTGAAAATTAAAGATAAATGTTTTGAAGTGATGCTTACAAAGATGATATGAAGACATTCTAATGTAACCATGGTACAAATAGCAATAAACAAACAGGCAGCTCATTGGTTCCTATCCCAGGGCTACGACTTGGCTCTCCGGCCTTGACTAGGCTGTCATTTTACCCCTTGAAGCCTCAGCATCCACATCAGTGAAATGGGTAGAAGTCAATAGCATCTACCCTGAGGGACTGTTAAAAGATTGAAGATGAAGTGCTTAGCACAGTACCTCGCACATGCTAGCCCACCTAGATGTGAGGACTACTGTGCTATGACGTGGAAGATTCATGAGCAGCAAGCTCTCAAGACAGCCTGATTTGTGCCCTGGCTGTCATTGACCAGCTGGATGGCCTTGAATCTGTTACCTTATCTCTCTGGGTTTCACAGGAAGATTATATAAAAAACATCTAGTGTGTTAATATGCAAGTACAATAAATGTGGAAACTTCAACTGTGTGGGAAATAGTCACTAAAAAATACCTTCCATTTTTGGTGTACATACATGTTAGCTGTGAATTACTAATAAAATTATTGTAAACTACAGAAAGGGAAGCAATGATTTTAGGGAGCATGGCTGGGTACTGATTCCACAGCTGTGTGAGCCTGGACAATTTTGTTAACCTCTCTGAGCCTCAGTTTCTCCATCCAGTCATATAAACCTAATGCCTGTCTTCTAGGGCTACTGTCTACACTAAGGAAAAGCAAATGTTAACATGAATTACATTGTTTACCTTGTACCTTATGAGTTATTTTACCTCATAAAATCTCATTTAATCCCGCAAAGAACTCTACTAAGCTGGTGTTAGTGTTTCCTTTTTACAGATGGAAGAACTTAGATTAAAAAAAAAAATCACAAGGTCACTCATCTAGGAAAGGTCGGAGGCAAGATTTGAACCCAGGACTTCTTGGCTCCAGATGATTAGGACCCTTCCAAGAATTCAGTAGGGTAATTCATTTCCTCTTTTCTGACTCTGGCAGGCCTCAGCTTACATAAGAGTGAGAGAGAATGTTCATTAGGACTCCATCTAGGGGCTGGGGTTGTGGCTCAGTGGTAGAGCACTTGCCTAGCATGTGTGAGGTACTGGGTTCAAGTCTCAGCACTTCATACAAATAAATAAATAAATGTCCATCAATATCTAAAAAATTGAAAAAAAAAAAAAAAAAAGAGGCCATCTAGCTTCGCCCTATTGAATTCTACCGCCAAGCATCGCGTGAAGAGGTGGCCTGGCCCTTCCTATTCAAATTCTTAGATTCAACTTACCAGTCTAGGGCAGCCTCCCGGGCTGGCTTCCTCTGGCTCATCCTGGCAGGGGTGGTCTGAGCATGTATCTGTGCTGTGCTCCTGGACACCGAATGCGGGACCTCTCCTTAGCCTTCTCTGCCCCTCGAGGGGGCCTATGTCGGCCTTGCTGGTGGCGGACTCCAGGGAGGAGCTGGAGATGTCCAGGCTCTCTGGGGAGCTGGAGCAGGCATCGGCAGGGGCAGCGAGTTCCCACCCTGGCCTCTCCCCGGGTGCTGGCTGGGCCTTGGCCTCCAGCTCCTCCTGGTTCTCAGTGCCAGCCCCCAGCAGGGGCTCTGCTTCCTGCTGCTCTGTGGAAGTCCCCCCTGGCACTTCCAGACACAGCACAGGGTTCAGCAGAAGGGCCTGTGCAGTGGGCCTGAGGGACTCTTCTCCCAAGGGCACTGGGAACCCAACAGAGCCGTGGGGGCTGCCTGGCTGGGCCTGGTACCCAGCAGCAGGCAAGTGTCCACACTCCTCCGCCCCTGAGGCACGCGCAGCCCAACTTCCAACTGGATCTCCAGGCCCAGCGTCCTTGGGAGAGGGGGGCCTGCAGGGGCCCCCCAAGGACTCCAGGTCAGCACCTTGGGGGGAGCCTCCCACAGACGGGCTGTCCCCATCAGGGCTCTGATCAAGCCACAAGAAGCCATCAGCCCTTTTCCTACCTTTGGAAAAGGCCCTACACTTCCTGCTTTTTCTTCGTGACCTCATAGGGCCTGGTGAGGACGGAAGGCCCCTTCCAGGGGGCGCCTCTTTGTGGAGTGTGGGGTTTCTCCCATCACACCCTGGAGAGCACGCGTCTTCGTCTCCCACCTCCCTGGGCCTGGGGCTGCTGGCCCCTTCCGCTCCTGTCAGCCTCTCTCTGCCCATCTGTGCTCTCTTCCGGAGACCTGGTGACGTGCTACAGAGATCCCTGAGGCATCTGGGATGTAAGATGTCATGCAGGGAAACCTGGAGCCTCTTGAGGGGCTGAGCACTCCCCTGGGCAGGCACTGGGGGCAGCTGCACGTGGAGCCTGGGGCCAGGCCTGGAATCTAGGCCCTGCTCCAAGGCTGGCAGCTCCAAAACCTCCAAGCTTGCCTCAGAAGCACCTCCAGCCTGGGAGCTGGCACCTGGATGGGACCCCTCCATGAGGCCCCTCTTCCTGCTCCAAGCCCAAACCTGGGCCTCTGATTTTAGGTCTGGCATGGGGATGGTTCCTGCCATGTCCTTTTGGAAGTCCCCACATCTGTGTTGGGGATGGAGAGCAGGATCCTCTGGACTGGAGCCCTCTGCATCCCCCACCTGTGACATGTCTGTTCACCTGGCAGGGCCAAAGGAAGGCAAGGGCCTGTGTGGAGACAGAGAAGGGAGACCACCTCAGGGCACCAGGCCTCTGGGAACCTGGTTGGTAGCCTCCTTTCCAGGTCCGGCCCACTCCAAGGTCTGGAGGGGATCAAGCACTCCAGCTGGACTTGGTGCCCAGGTGGGGGGGGCTGCCTCCCACAGTGGACTGGCCCTCTCTGGGAGCTTACACTTCTGTTTAAGCGGGAGATAGTGATATCCACTGCTATTAATGGCTCATATGCACTATTTCATTCTGCCCCGGCAGATTCCTAAGGAAGCCAAGAGCCGGCATTCGCTCCCAAACCACACGCCCCGCTCTAAATCACCCCACATGGCGCAGACAGAGCAGGGTTCCTACCATCACCCCTCCCCAGCGCTCCCTTCCGTCCCATTCTGATAGACCCCCAGCCAGTTTCCCAGGCCTGACCTGGACGGTCCCCCACCGTCCACTGAACCCTGGCCCAACAGGTCCAGCCGTTCTCACCTGTTCCCCCTCCTCCAGCTACACCCCCCAACCAGGGTCACGTGAAGTGGGAGAGCCCCGCCCTGCAGCAGGCTGGGGGCGGAGTCCTTGGTGAGGCACAAAAGACGGCTCTCCTGGGGGTGCTGGCGTTGCGGTCCCAGCAGAGGGCGCGCCCTCCCTCAGGAGGGCTTCCCGGAGGAGGTGCCAATCCTCCAGGGCAGGGCTGATGGGCGCATGCGCCAGGGGTACCGGGCGCTGAATGGCTTTACACGCCTACTGAGTTTAAACCCGATCGTTTGGTGTCGACGGAGTGACAGTGCCTGAGCCCCTGGGGGAATATAAAAATCAGACCTAGATTTTTTTGCTTAATTATTTATTCTAATATTATTATTATTTCAAATATAATTTATGTAGCTAGCAATGTGCCCATTCAAGTCCAACCTTAGGGAACAAACTTTTTTTAACGGTGGATATTGTTTTAGTTTGCTTGATTTCATAATTGTGAACGACGTACTTATGCCTCCATTACTAAAATTACCCACTTTAACAGTGTTTTTTGACTTTTTTTGACTTTTTTTTTTTTTTTTTTTGGTACCAGGGATTGAACCCAGGGACGGTTAACCACTATCACATCACCAGCCCTTTTATTTTATTTTATTTTATTTTATTTTATTTTATTTTATTTTATTTTATTTTATTTTATTTTATTTTATTTTTTTATTTTATTTTATTTTATTTTATTTTATTTTATTTTATTTTATTTTATTTTTTTATTTTATTTTATTTTATTTTGAGAGAAGGGAGACCACCTCATGGAGGGCCGGACCTGCCGCCCTTAAGTTGCTCAAGGCCTCGGTAAATTGCTAAGACTGGATTTGAACTTAAGATCCTCCTGCCTCAGCCTCCGCAGCCCCTAAGATTACACAGGCCTGTGACCCGCACTGGGTTAATATTTATTGACTTCTGATGTGGTGATTTAATTAACTGCTCATTCCCCTTTCTCCTCCCAATTTTTAATTTTTAATATTTACATTTCTAGCTTTTCTAGGGTTTCTGTTATCCCTGAGGATAATCCTAAGTGTCTGTTTCTTCTTTATATTCCATGTTTTCACTCTCCTCCGTGTGAAACAACTCCCCTTGATATTCCCTCTCCACTTCTGCCACCTTCTATCAACTAAACCTTTACTTTTGCATCCTGAGACTCATAACCTTTACGTTCTATCTTGTAAAGATAATTCAATTTGCCATTATTCATCTATAGACTGATTCTTAACACTGAGAACCAAATGGCGTTCCTCACATGAAGATTATGGAAACACTTTCGCTATGGAACCAGGGGTCTGATGGGCCTGAGTGAGGGGGCTGAACTCACTAGCACTGAATACCTTCGTGCCCCCGGGACCCCGAAATCTTCCAGGCCCATGGGACTCTGCACCACAGTTAGACTGAATGAATTTGATCAATACAGATGTTTCTCAATCCAATGTCAAATAAAAACACCATGATGATAGTAATAATGGAAACTGTGGGGTATATGGAAATTCTTCGTAGTTATCTTCACATTTTTTCTGTAAGTCCAAAAATCATTCTAGAAAATAAATTTTATTAAAAAAAAATTATACGGTTGTCCATATTGAAATTTGTCATGGTCTGACTCTCAGGGTCGCAAATGAAGTGAGAATTGAGATTCATTGTCACCAATAACCATAATTACTGCACTGAGGAAATAAGTGACAGGCAGGTGGCACACACCTGACATCCCAGCTGCTAGGGAGGCTGAAGCAAGATCAGGAGTTCAAAGCCAGCCTCAGCAACTTAGAGAGGCCCGAAGCAACTCAGTGAGACCCTGTCTCTAAGTATTAAAATACAAAAAAAAAAAAAAAATGGTTTGGAGATGTGGTTCATTGGTTAAGCCCCTCTGGTACAAAAAATAATAATAAAATATATGGTTTTGCCTAGATTCTGGCCCAATGCCTTTCACTCTATTGTTAGCTGTTTGTTCCATTGACATATCATGACAACTGTGCTGTATACCTGGTTCCCATTAATACATGAATTTACTTCTTAGTTATCTGTTCCATTAGTCAATTTGTCTGTTCCTGACCAATATACTATTGTTTTAATTCCATGGAATTGTGATATATCTTTAAATATGGGGAGCAAGCTCTACCCGCCCACCTGTATTGGTTCCTACTTTTCTTAATTGTCTTAACTAACTATCTACATGTGTTCTTCCATACGAACTGTAGAATCAAGCATTTTACCAACTTCCCTGAATAATTCTATTGGGATTTCTATTCTAATTTCATTGAATTTACAGATTAGAGGCTTAATTCAAAATTTTTAATACTGAGTCTTCTCATCTATGAATAAGATATATTTCTGTCCATTCTTTCAGGTCTTCATTTTTATAAATTTTCTTCATCAAAATATTGCATGTTTTTATTCAGTTAGTCTGCACTTCATATTTATTGTTGCTTTGTTAATTGGTTTCAAGGTTGTTACCAATGTAAAGGAAGGCAATTTATTTTGTTGACCTTGCATCAAGAAAATTTCCTGAATTCTCTTATTAATTCTAGTAATTTGTCTACTGATCCTTTTTAAAGTGTGTGTTTCTATATGGTCAGATGGTCTATAAATAATGACAATTCCATCTTGTGTTGTATCAGACTCCTATTATTCCTTCTCATTTATATCTTTTGGGTAGATTGCATCAATCCTTATAAGCCATATTTATTTTTCTTGTCTTATTGCATTGTTTAGAACTTTTGGTACAGTAATGAATAGCTGCATGGGGATCTTTGTCTTGTTCTTGACTTAAATGGAAGCAATTTTAAAGTTTCACAGATATTATTTTTTGCTATAAACTTTTTGGTAAATACACATTAGGTTAAGAAAGTTCCTTTCTCCTATTAAGTTATTGAATTTTTTTCTCATTAATTGGTCTTGAATTTTATTGTATTTATTTATTATATTGTATTTAATTTTATTGTTTTTAATGGTTCTTGAATTTTATGTTTCCTCATATCTTTTGATAGTTTTCTGCTTAAATTGATTAATATGATAACATACCTTGATAGAATTTTCTAATGTCAATTCATCATTGCATTCCTCATAGAACTCCTGCTTAAGTATGACATGTTGTTTTTAAAAATACTGCTACATTTAATTTGAAACATATAAGTCAGGATTTTGCATCTATATTTTTAAGAAAGATAAGCTGATATTATGATTTTCTTACTCAGCCTTTTCTAGTTTTACTATCAAGGTTGTAGTATCTTTATATGAATTAAGTAGATTTCCCACTTTTTCTGGTCTCTGGAACAGTGTGTATACAATACAGATTTTCTTTTCCTTGTTCTTGACTTAAATGGAAGCATTTTTCCTTGAAAATTTGGTGTGTGTATTATGGTTTGGATATGAGATGGCCCCTGAAAGTTCATGTGTGAGATAAAGAAGGAATGTTCAGAAGTGAAATGATTCCATCATGAAAACTTAAACCTAATCAGTGGATTGATCTATTTGATTGATTAACAATTTGAAAGGATTGCTGTACTGGGTGGTAACTGTAGGCAAGTAGGGTGTCACTGGAGAACTTAGGTCACTGGGGGTGTGGCTTTGGGGGTTGATATTTTGTTCCAGGGTCCTCAATCACCCCCACACCCTCTCTCCCTCTCTCCCCCTCTCTGTTTCCTGGATGCCATGAGCTGAGCAGCTTCCACCATGATGTTCTGCACCATCTCAGGCCCAGAGCAATGGAGCTGGCCTACCATGAACTGAATCTCTGAAACCTTGAGCCCCAAATTAAACTTTTTCTCTTTTAAGTTGTCCCTTGTCAACTATTTCAGTCATAGCTATGAAAAGCTGACAAACAGGAGAAATTCACTGGAAAACAATTGGGTGCATCTCAACTTATTAAATGACTTTTAGTTTTTTCAGTTCCATTCTTTTTTTAAAAAACAATTTTTGTAATTAATACTTTTCTAAAGTTTATCATTTTATTTAAGGTTTCAAATTTAATGGCATAAGATAAATGATCTCACAATCCAAAAATATCCTCATTGTATCAGAGTTATTTTCCCCTAATTATGCCTAATCCTGTCAGTTCTTTCCTGCTCACTTTCTCTTTCTCTCTTTTGGTCAGTCTTTCTAGGGTTTTCTTTTTCAAAGAATTAGATTTTTTTTTTTATCATTTGTTATCTCTGTTTTTTTTAATCGTTGTTGTATTTTCTATTTCATTATCTTCTGTTCTTACCTTTCTTATTTACTCTCTTCCACTTCCTTTGGTTTACTTTTATTTTTTTCATTCTTTCTTGACCTCATTTATAATTATTATTTTTTTTATTTTTAAAGATAGGATCTCATTAAA